CTGAATTTAAAGCTGGATCCGCCCCTGTTTAGGTATTTGGGCCTACTATTGTATCGGCCGAGGAATTTTCGTTGCCCGTGTCTTAAGGGAAACCAGAAAAAGGATATATAAGGAAGTGTCCTTTGAAAACCTTTTTGATTGTTTGCCGATAGGAATTTGATCCTAGCATTTCCCGAAGCCACCCCAACTCTGAAGATGCCAGCGATGCATGTTGTCGAAACGTCTTGACCAAATTAATGTCGGCGACGGGCTAATAACTGAAAATTCACCAGTTCCTCAAGCAATGGTAGTGAAAGCTTTGACTAGTTCATATTGTTAGGGCTTTTATCCTCCTTTATTTTAGCTCGGAATATGGGCAAATGCGAAAGAATCAATTTAATCGAGTTTTTATCTGAAAAATGCTCCTCTGTCGTGTAGTCCCACTCAAATCACTTACGACGGTTTGAAAGATAAGATTAGACAATATTGACCATATGCTCCGTTCGGGTTAAATCATGTGTTTCGAAAGTTCGGTTGCCTTCCCAGAAACGAATCACTGGGTCGTTGGTCACTTTCCAAATTCGTCAAGCTCCTTATTATTTTCGTAAATTTGACACTTGCTTTGTTCTGACGAGCTTTCGGTAAAGTATTTAAGGTACTTTGTCATGCCGTTTACTATTTATCGGTGTGTTCCCTATCATGTAACGGTTTTCCACCTGACTACCTGAAGCATCTTTGAAATAGGCCAATGACAAGTATCTTTCACAATCGTCATAGAGCCGTTAGTTAAGCCCCATTGGTTAATCCGGTGCCAATGTTGTAGCCGAAATGTTCGGTTTTGCTTGGTAACAGCGATTTTTTATGGTACATATTTCAGATATGTACCAGAGAAGAAAAACGTATTATGTTAAAACCTTCAGCATTGACAAATGTTTGATTTTTTATATTCACACTGAATAGCGTTGAAAGTTTCTCCCCAGCGTTTCTACTTTCGGGTGGTATCGGTGGAGCATCCAGTTGATGCAAACCTATTAAATCGCCCTTTTCTTGTCCCTTTTCCCTGTTCGAATCCCTCTATTTCGAAGGGAATGAGCTGGCACCGCTGCAGCTGGTAAATCAAGTCGCGAATCAAATGTGCCATACGCGGTATGGGATACAGTCGATACAATGGCGTTTGTTTTAAGAATAGTTTAGGTTTAATTGTTTTAACAGTAGCCACTTAGTATAGGGAAGTAGTCGTTTTTTAACGCCGGTGTTCACCCTAGTTAGATTAGGAAAGTGCGCGTATCCAGAGCGGAAGACACCGAGGAAGAAAGAACGCCCTTAATCGATTTTTCGCGGACGAATTTCAAGTAGAACGAGGGTGTCTGGGAAGTTTCGGCCACGGTGTGTTCAGTAGAAAATCCACCAGTAAGTCTGCCAAAATCCGCTTGAACAAAAGACTGTGCATCCGTAAAAATAGAATTTCCCGACCGTTGTAGTTGATCATCCACGTTAGGAATGCCGTCAGGAAAGCGTTCAGCATTCCGAAGATATTGTGAGGATTCTACTTTGGCCTTGCAAAGTATGCGGTTTCGGAGAAGAATCCATTCCTGGCAGTTTTCGGCCATGCCTGTGACGAACTATTGATTTTTTACGTACGACTAGACGTAGATATGGTGTCCCGATTTGTACCCAGCGGGCCAGTTAAGCCGGATGGGTTATGTTTGTTGCCCCCGCCGCCCCATTATCGGCTAATGCCACCCCAGCCACGTAAGTGCGTTTTTTTCTTCCGTCTTTGGACAGTTTGCATATATTGCACCCCCACGTGGCCTTTTCCAACCCCCCTGGTTGACGGAAAATCGATGCCAGTGGCAATGGCCAATCTCCACAAACTACAGTGCAGACACGCGCTGCATGTCGCAGTCTTTAACCCTCTTGTCGGTTAAAAGTAGGTCTTTTTCCCGGCTGGTTTCAGCGTTTTCTGTACCTGAGCAGTTCAGCAAGCGGTTGTCTCGCCTTGGGTTCACTGAATCAGCCGGGGTTCAAGGATCCTCCTTTTATTTTGTTTAGCATTTAATTATCTGAGATCAAGAAACTTTGCTCAAATTAAGATATCCTGGCCGGCAATGAATTGTTCGTTTATTTCAGTATCAGTTTTGAACATTTCTCCAGCCACAAACTTCCCAAATCGTCTCCAGTTGTACCAAATAGTGACAAGAAACCTGTCCGCGACTGATGGTGATGATCGGAAAATTGCTCGGACGCGTCGATTTTTGTTTTCAATTGCGCATTTTCTAAACTAATTTTTATTTATACGGGGCGGTTCAAGAAAGTTGTGACATCAAGGACAACTTTTTTAAATAGAAGTTGGCTCGTATTTGGAGATCGTGTTGACCTACGCAACTGTAGGGTTCATTGCCGGATAGAGCACTAAAATTCGCACTTTTTTCTTTAAAACATTGATCTGGAACGTTTCTAGTTTTCACGCAAAATGCGAGTGTTTAGAACGGCTTTATCCAGTATTTAGAGAACTGGATGAGCTACGAAGCTCTAGTTTTCATTGCGAGATACAGCATTAAATTTTGTAGTTTTTTATGCCAAACATTTTCTGGTTTTGACGCAAAATGCGAAGATTCATTATTAATGCGAGTTTTCAGGCCGACTCTTATTCCTTGGCCGTATGTAGAGAACCCATTGAGCTACGAAAATGTTTTTATGTCTACATAGAGCGTTATATTGCGTACTTTTTTTTGTAGCAAACATCATTTTAGAAATGTTTCTAGTTTTGACGCAAAATACGAAAATTCATGATTAATGCGAGTTTCCTAAACTGTTCTTAGTCGTTGGATCGTGTTTTGACAAGCGGTCGAGTCACGAAACTCTAGTGTTCATTTCGGAATAGATCATTAAAGTGTGCACTTTATATAAAACATTAATCTGGAAAAGTTTCTAGGTTTTGAGCAAAACGCGAAATTTTTTCATTTACGCGGATTTTGAAAATATTGCTCATATTTAGTGAACCGGTTGAGCTGTAAAGTTCCGTTTGTCATTGCCGGATGGGGCATTAAAACACGGACTTTTTTTTTATAGAAAACATCAATTTAGCCATTTTTCTAATTTTCGCGGAAAACACGAAAATTCACGATTAATGCGAGTTTTTAAAACGGCTCTTATTTGTTGGCTCGTATTTCGACAACCTCTGGGCTACGAAACTGGTTTTCATTGCGAGATAGAGCATTAAATTGCCTGCTATTTTTGCAAAAAATTTTAGAAATGTTTCTAGTTTTCAAGAAATGTGCGAAAACTTTGCTTACTACTTTCTGTCGCAAATGTTCCAAAAATCAGCAAAGATAATATCGAATTCTAATCATAAAAATGATTTGATTTTTGTAGAGAACTGAATAAAATTACAAAAAAGTTGGCCTTAGACATAAATTGGTTCAGAAAATGCGCAAATAAAAACCAAAATCGACGGATCCCAGCGATTTTTCGAAAAATAAACACCTTATTTTGAAGTAATAATATGCAAGAAGTTTATCGCTCACTGTATGTATATCTATATAAATTTCAAGGAAACTTCGGAATTAACTTTGAAAAGTGGTAGATATTGGGATCGGCGCAGACCGAAAGAGGAAAGAACTTCTGAGCGTTTTATTTCCGCCGTTTGGGTCAGAAGACAGAAATAAAATTTTCCAGTTTAATTGTTATTGTTTGTTTATTGGCACTTCGAACTGGAACCATCCAGAAGCCTGGATGAAGTGCAAAAGAGGGCATGACATGTTATGAATTTCCTTTCTGAGAAGAACAATAAAGGCGAATCGTGATCATTTTGATAACAATGCCAAGGTGATTCTTATTCTGCCACTGGGTTAATTGTTCGTTTCATGTTGGACATTCAGTGTGATTTTCAAATTTTCAGTTTATGTGAAAGCTGCGACGGTTTTCTAACACTATTTCTAGCTATTGAACGGGATTTTACGGGATTATCTATCAAGTGCTTGATAAATTCCGAAAACTTGATAAAAGTTCAGTAAATATTTGTCTCTTGACTACAGCAGCCCGAAGCTGAAAGTAGAACAACTACAGGATGTTGAAAAAATCTAGAGCAAGCTGCCTAAACTTGGCGAATAGACTTCAAAGGACTGTTTGTCATTATTATTATATATTTCATTTGCCTTATTCTTTTGGAACTATCTGATCGAATATCGAAGTGTTATTCGAAGGAGACGTTTTTCAGTTCTTTCCGAGATATTAAATGTGTCTGAGAAACACTATTCTTTATGGGTTTTAAGGGTTTCTTGTTGCAATTGAAGCCGATTCTACTGTCTTTAGGTAGGGCAAATGATATTCATTTAAAAATCACCGCGGCCAATTTGGTCATATGAATTCATCATAACGGAACTGGTTTTGAAACCATTGACCACTGTGTGTGGTTTACTGTTAGTTGTTACTATGCAAGCACATTTGCATGCTAATAAATTTGTCAAGCTTATGCGATAATTTGGTTTTTTTTCCTGAAGCTTTCACGTGATGAAATGCATTCTTTGGTTCAACCTGGTATGTCTTGCATGTGCAACATTCCACAGTCAGCAAGTTCATGCGCTTTTTAGCGGAAATGCTGACTCCCATTCATTATTTGTAAGCAATTGCTATTGCTGTCGTGAGAAATGTGTAAAAAGTAGAGCTCGGAATCAAACTCGAATATTATAATTGAATATTCAAAAAGCGAATAATTATGTGTAGTTATAACTCGAATATTCGAATATCCGAATACTCGAATACACCAACATTATCAAACTCACAAGGTGCAACTATCTTTATATGCGCTTTGTATACTTTTATAAAATAAATGATTCATATTCTACAAGCATTTAAMCAAATACCCATATATTTACAAGCAAATRAAAATAATCATATTTACTCTCCTACAAATGAATATAAAATTACGTCTCTGTGTTCTGGTGATACGCATCATCAACTTTTGCGCGGTGTTACAATTAATGTGCCGACAAAGGCACTTTTTTATTTGTTTTTTGTTTATTTAATCTAACGAATATTCGTTAGATATTCGAGTATTCGAATAATTTTACTATTCGAATAAACTACTAAACGAATATTCGATGATCAGATTTAAAAAAATTCCGAGCCCTAGTAAAAAGTCATGTTTCAATCATGCTTAAAGCTGATTAACTTGGAAGCATTTGCAGCCAGTTGAAGGAAGGTGCTTTTGTGCCGCTTTTCTAGTCTTGTGTCTTCGGTGTGTAAAAAATCTTCATCTTAATTCAATGTTCTTCAGTTGACTGCCATGAATCTACGGCTCGTCTAGTTGAGAAAATTAAATTGTATTTATTTTCAGTACTCTCCCATTTCCCCACAAGTCGCAAGACTTGGTTCTTTTCCATTGAACAATATTGTACCTATAGAAAATTGATTGAAATCGTAACAGCCCTATTTTAATATCATCGCCATCAGTGGTAAAGATGAGTCCGATTGTTATTAGTGGAAAATCGTTTGAAACAGTTACGAAATTGAAAGCCGTCTCACGAACTATCGCCTGCTCTAGTGGATAATGGCTATTTTTACGTAATGGCAGTTTATTTGTGGCGTCGAATGCAGAAATTAGAAGTCTGTTAGGCCATTGTGACCCACATAGCGCGGCCTTGTCATCATGTTGATGCATCCGGAGTCCGCAGATGGAGAGTATATACATTCCGTTTATCCGTACAATTTATCGATTTATGTCCTCAATGCAATGTTGCCAGGGGCCCCAATCCATGTCCATGGACACAGTCCATAGTTTGTTTTTGCTTGTATCAGCCTTTAGGTACCTTTTTTTGTCTATGGCAGTCCAGACTTCCAAGCTTGGACCTTTGAGAATCTCTCTTGAAGCTATTTGTATTCACCGGAAGCTAATTTATGATAAAGGTTTAAGTCAAGATAGTTAGTTATATTAATTTACAATTAAAATCTCGTTTAATTCTACAACAAACAGCGATTACTCTCAGGGTTTGTTTAAATACTCTCCTCTAATCTATAATTGAGTTGCGTTCAGTTGACCCCGCTGTTGTTGTTTTAATTGATTTCTAATGTCCTACCCATCGAACACCCATAAAGGCCCTGTAGCCGGAACTTTCCCTTAGCAGGTAAACCCCCTACCACTCTGACCATTTGTCCATTTAAAGGGTAGTGCAGGGATTTTTGCAATTCACTCATTCAGAGTGAACTTAGATTTCGTATCCTCGGGATCGAATCGTGGACTGTGTCTTTTCGCTTTCGCGTACTTCTTCAGTTTGCTTGCTTCTCGCCCTTTTGGCACATTTTGTGGTAGTTTTTGATTGCATCATGAATCGCCGACGTAAGTAGTATTTTTATGCTTCTTTTGGTATACCGCCTTCTGGTTACGTTCTAAGTGCTTTTGTAAATTTATTGACAGAATCTAAGCAATTTTGCAATTGAAATGCGAGATCATTTTCGAACTTCATCAACAGCATTTTTTAGTCAACAAGATCATAAATGTTTTTCCGTAAAGTAAAAGATTATTTAACAAAATCCATAAGTGTTCTTTGCGGAAATCAAACTACCTAATAAAATTGAAAATTATTTTGAATGGCGGTAGAATTTCTTCCTTTCTTCAGACTTGTGCCGCTTGAAGCGAACGTGACTCCATTCTTCACAATTTTCAATTTTTTCTGACGGTCATCAGTTGTATAAAAAACAATTTAAAAAAGTTCAAAATTAGCGTTGCCGCTGTAGATTGATGTTATTGTGTATTTTAGTATACTTTTGGACGATTTGGAACTAATAACTTGTGAACAAGTAACCACAACAAAACGTTGCACACTTTCAAGAATTGGATGTTATTATTATACAGGATGGTTTACGCACAATGATGAAAAATCTGACTTAGAGAGTATAACATCTACAGGGTGTCGACAAAACGCCAGTCGAACTGGCTAAACTAAGCGATGGGCACTTGTCATACAGTTTCATTCTTGTCTTGATTGAAACCAATGGATTTTCTGTAACGAATCGAGATTTCCAAATCAGCATTTTAGTTTAACCCCACTGTACAATATACAGTCACCCAGTATATTAGGCGACTACGGTCACCTTCGGGACGTTTTTGTCCAACTCAATTGAACACCAGCATTGTCCACTTTTTCGGAATGGAATTTTGCCCACCTATTCAGAGTAGAATGTTTTTTTTTTACATGGAATTGTCAATGCAAGACAGTGTAGCTCCTTGGCCCGTTTTTCTTTAAGAAGGCTCGAAACCTTGAAATGTGTGAAGAAGGGTTTGAAAAACCCTCTGCTGGCCCCTTCTATCAATGCTGGAAAGGTTTGCGTCTCGATGTGGTGCTAACTGTTAAACCACAATTAGTGGGCAAGTTTCTTTTGAACGGACGAATGTGTGAAACATTGGTACTTGACCATGGTTCGTAAAAGGTCAATAGAAACGCCACAATTCCTTGAAACTGATTTGAACAACTCTGACCATGATGAGTTGGTCTGTAGCGAGATATTTTGGGAATTTACAACAATTGACAATTAACAACATTTTCGAACGTAGTTGTCTTCAGAAGGAAAACGGCTAGAAGCGAATTGAAAAACCCTGACACTGATTTACGATTTTGCGTTGCACCCTGTGGAATGTCGAACCTTAATTTCTAAATAGATATCAGCCGATATTGCCGCAACACGCAGCTAGTAAGTACCTACAGATCGTGGCTGCGTTCCCAAATGCCCCACTCGTAATGATTTGTTCCAGCTTGTCGTGTGCCCGAATGTACTTTTATCTTTGGTTTTTTCTTTTTTTGTTGATTATACAGGATCTGATGGGTCGTTTCACAGCCAGGGTGCCCCGTATGTAAATCAGGCGCCGGGTCCAAATCAGGGGCCAGGATTGCGCGGTTTGCCACCCACTGGCCACCCCAACCAATCATCGACGCCACCTACCCAAGAATTGAAAGTTCCTGGGCTCCCTGGCCAAATTCCCCAAATGGTAAGTGCTAGAAATTGCTAACATTTTGATCAGAATGAATTTCGAAAGTCCTCCGTACCTCACCTCTCTTTAATGGGATATTAATTCTAATTTGCAGCCATCTATTAACATTTCCACTGTCCTTCATGTTGCTTCGA